TCTTTTTAATTAGAAATCTTGATTTTAAAACCTAACCCGTTATAAAAATATCTTGAACATTAAGAGTAAATTAGATGCATTTAAAATTTTCAAAATATTTAGTAATTGGACCGGCTGAATAATAAACCTGTGTTTTAAAACATTTTACTACATTTATATGTTTATATGGGCTGTACTAGAGTTACAGTTTGCTTACATTATTACTTAGGATTATTTAACAAACGGCAGTCCAATTACTAATATAACCTACCACAATATTATCTTGATAACATGGGTGACTTTTTAATAATTCCATAAATTTCTCAGATAGATCTACCCCGGATAAATATGGTTTTAAATTCTTGATATAATCACTTCTGGTTTGTGTGTAATCCATATTCAAATAATTATCCAGCTATTCTCAAATAGCTATAACTTCAAAAATATGTTTAGAAAATGATTAATTTCATATACACAATAATAAATACACACCTAGTAATAAATGTTTAATTTACGACCTTACTTACTATTATAATAATAATAACAAAACATTTTTAGCTTTCAGTTCATAAAATTTATAGAAATAAATAATTTATATTTTATAAAATTAATTTAATAAACTCGTTATAATTGACCACACCTAAAAATAAACGTTTATATTTACGATCCTATTTATGTTTGCAAACAGGCCTGGTATGTTATGACTACTTTGTGGCTTACGTGACGGAAAGTAACCTCGACTACAGTTATCTCGTAAATACAAATATTGTGTAACAAAAACTAAAATAAATATTTTTATTATGCTGATATACCGTACTATACAGTATTACTATTGCGAGTTTAAATAATAGAGATATAAATAAAATATTCATTAAAAATTTACTTTCAATACATGTTTATATAGAAATCACGTAGTTTTACTCAATTTAAAATAAACACTTTAATCTAATCTATAAATAAATCAATAATTTTTTTATACCGACATTTAAAAATTATTATTATAAAGCACAACATCTATTATTTATAAAACTACTTTAATAAAATAACATATTAAATGATTTTAACTAGCTAAATCTAATAAGGTTTTCTTATAAAATTATTTTTCAAAAGCCCTTTTAGCATAGAACCAATTATAAAAAGTTCTTAAAGTTTTAAACAAAAATGTTTCTGTATTCCTTATTTCTATAATAATGATCATAATCGTATATGTTGAACATCAGGTATTTGGTCATCCTTATTTTCTGGTTGACCAGGGTTAAAATATAATTCCCTGTTCACCATATGCAGGCGCATTTCAGGTCGCAGTTCCAATCTATCCAATCTTTCCAATTCGTCCTGTGTCTGTTGCAAAAACAATTAAACAAGGTTATCTAATAGGCTAGTCTCAGATTGTTGTCATGAACAATTTATAAATAACTTACCTTGTTAAATATCTGTAGTATAGTCAGGTCACAGGCGTAATGTGCGATGCATTGGCTAAATGCAAGACCAAATGGGGAGAAGCCAGCATTATAATTATTTGGCCCTGATAATTGGCCTTAAATTATAAAATACACATCATTAAGAGGTTTTGTAAATATTAAACAAGCAAATATAAATATAAATATACCCTCAGCACATGAGTAGCATATGTATGTTCTGGTGTTTGAATTATACCAGTCTGTGTCTATTGAAGACATATCACCCTGATAATTAGAATTTGAGGGTGTTCCAAGCTTTTCTGTATATAAATCAAGTAAAAATTCAATAGAATATTATTTTACTCTCTCTCTCTCTTACTCTCTTTCTGACTCACAAACACTCCTGGTTGGTTTCAAAACTTACTATTTCGGCAACAATTGAGTACAAATATTTTGGGCACCTTTTCGAATGTGGAATGACACTTTCCCTTCGCAAATAAGTCCACGATTTTAAAAATTTTGACTTCATCGCCGTTATTGATCCAAATCTTCTCATCAGCTCCGTGTCCGATGTACATGACAATCAAGGCGTCACCCTCGTAAGGTAGCTGAGCCAGTGCTTGCAAATTGGTCACCATTGGTTCACACGACGATATAAAATATACCACGACATCAAAATATAACTGTTTGAATACGGAGGCAAACCTATTTGCCTCATTTAAGAATCCAGGAATGCTGAGGAATATTACAGCCTTTCCCCTCGGGATTGACACCATGGGAAACAGGCGGGATCCAGGATATTTTAAATTGAGTGCTTTCTTCACAGTGATTTCCACATTAAGTGATAATCCTGTAATAGGCAGTGAATTTCAAACATAAGTGACATGCATAATTAATAATGTTATCTGGATTATAATGTTAAATAATTGTTAAATACATAGAACTCACCGATAATATGTTTGGGTGTGTTGTACTCTCTCAATTTGTTAGCTTGCTCAGTTTCTCCAGATTCGTCTAGTATCTTGGCCAAATGGTCACAGTTTTCCGGCTGATTCGTATACTCGGTAAATATTACGTATTTCCTGCTCTCTCTATCAATTTTCTAATTTTCAAATGCAACATTATGTGAGTTAATACATTGGGAAAATAAATATTTATTTATAGTTATTTTGTATATTAGCATGATAATTAGTCGTATATTTATGTCACAAGAATAGTGTACTGAATCACTATATTTTATCAGGTTAAGGAATTAATATAGTATTTAACGAATATAAAATAAAATATAAAATGAGCAAAAATCTATTTTTGTAACCCATCCCCTTTTAAGTAAAAAACTATACATTTAAACATATTATAATGTAAATCACAATTAATATAAAAGGTAATGATTTAAATTTCAATCTAAAATTTTGAAATCATACCTCCACACTTTTTTGATAGCTTGGGTGTTTTCTTAGATTTTGTATAAATCTATCAGACAAATTATATCCATCTAAAAACAAAGGTAATTCATCCATATATTTCCTTCTGATGTATGTGTAATTCATATTTATATAATTATTGTACAATTACTATAAATACACTGTAATAATAAGTTTTAACAATATATTACTAATAAACTGTATATTGTTTTATTAAAATATAGTTTAAATTAGTATTAAAAGATAGTTCTACACTGAATAAATGTTTTTAAATTCTTGATATAATCACTTTTGGTTTGTGTAATCCATATTAAAATAATTAACTAGGACTTTTGTAAATAACTAGCTATTTACAAATAGCTTTAATTCAAAAATATGTTTAGAAAATGATTAATTTCATATACACAATAATTTGCCACACCTAGTAATAAATGTTTAGTTTACGACTCTATTTACTAGTTAGTAGGTTTGCAAACAGGGCTGGTATGTAAAAGTAGTCATAATTTATGACTACTTTGTAGCTTACGTAACGGAATGTAAACATCGACTACAGTTATCTCGTAAACACAAAGTTTTATATAGCAAAAACTAAAATTACTATTTTTATTATGTTAGTATTTTACATAACTATTATAAATAATTATTTGATAATAAAATATTCTATATTTTAAAATTTATAATTACATAATTTTATTCAATTGAAAATAAACACCTTTATCTTAAAATAAATTATATACTGCATAGCACTTATCATACAAATGTTTTTTATTTAGTTGTATAAATCAATGTTAGAGTTTGTGCTACACATTTTNACTGCATAGCACTTATCATACAAATGTTTTTTATTTAGTTGTATAAATCAATGTTAGAGTTTGTGCTACACATTTTTGACTTTATCCTTTTTATAAACAATCTTAACAGGGTTAGTTACAAAACCATATTAATTTAAAATTTTATTTTATTTTTTATAGGTAATAATCACATAGTTTTATTCAATTTAACGTAAGCACCATAATCTAATTATATAAATAAAACAAATTTTTGTATCATACTGGTGTTTAAAAGTTATTTTATTATATTCACTAATATTTCACTTGTTAGCAAAATTTTATCATTTTTATCACTAATTAATTTTGGAATATTCTAACCAGGGTTTATTACATGACCCTATTTCAAATAGCAACCCTATTAAAATTATAAGTTAATTAACATTGTTTAAAATACAATGTTTATGCAGCATTGTATATATTTTATATAATTTCAATAAAAATAGTATAATATATCAGCATTTTTAAATATTTATATAATTTTACATTTACACAGATTATTTTATTTAGCAAGTAAAATTTCGATAACAATTTAAAATATTTATTAATTAAAATTTTAGAAATGTTTGACACTAGGAATATAATTTTTAGTATTTTCAGGTAGACCCGGGTTAAAATACAAGTCCCTGGTCACCATGAACTGGCGTATCTCAGGCCGTTGACCCAACTCTTCCAACGCTTCAAAAGTCTACATATATTCAGAAATTGTGTCAGGTTAATATTAATAAAATCAAAATGATACATTTAAAATGTATATGCTATAATTAAACACTTACCTTGTTAAATATTTGCAACAAATTGCAATCACACGCGTATCTTGCAATACAATTGCTAAATATCTGACCAAATACTGTAAAACCATTGCCAAAATCAGCCCACACATTTACACCTTAAAAATATAATTTTGTGTTCAATAATTTATTTTAAAATTATAATAGTTAGCATGGTGGCACTCACTTTCAACGCACGAGTAGCAAATGTAGGTGCGCGTGTTTTGATTGTACCAGTTTGTATCAATCGGGGACATATCAAATACAAGTAGTCTCTGTTCAGTGTTGATATTTGTTGCCATAGGGGTCACCATATTATCTGTTAATGATCGGGGTGAAATTTAAATAATTTTATAGTCAATTATGTAATCTATTGCATATTGTGTAAGAAACATTAAATTATAAAATATTAATTATATTAAAATGTTAATTATACTTATTATATCTAAATTTTTATTGTATCATGCTTACTATGTCTGCAACAGTTAAAAATAAATATTTTAGGTTTTCGATCAAATGTATCATGGCAATTATTTCCAGAAAATATGTCCACAATTTCACAAATCCTTTTCTGCTCCTCATTTGATATCCAGATCCTCTCATCACATCCATGTCCAATATACATGACAATGAGGGCATTATCGGGGTATGCCTTCTGTGACACATTCTTTAAAGTTGTTACCATTTGTCCACACGATTTGATTGCATGAATCTCCACATCGAAGTACAACTGTCCGAATATGGAGGCGAATCGATTGGCTTCCGGTAGGAGTTCCACAATACTGACAAATATTAAAGCCTTTCCCCTGGGAATGCCGTCCATGGGAAACCAACGGGACTGACCTGACCTCATTGCTGAAGCTTTTTGTATAGGTAGTTCTATCTTGGTTAAAAATTCAGTAATTTTCTTGGGTGTATTATATCCTCGAAGTTTTTCAGCGGCCTCGTGTTGTCCGGAGTCGTCTAGTATTTTGGCCAACCTTGTACAATTATCACGTTCCCGCGTATATTCCGTAAATATTAAATATTTTCTATTCTCCCGGTCAATTTCCTACTCAGAAAATTAATAATTATTAGCAAGGCAGTATTATAGAATTAATGTAAACTTATATACGCCCAGATTTACTAATCCAGGTAATTATATAAGTCAATATTTAATTGCTTTAAATTTTAATTACGTATTATATAGTGTTGTTAATTTTTAAAAATTTAATATTACTAACCCCAACATTTGACAAATAGCACGGGTGTGTTTTTAATAAATCCATAAATTCATCAGATATAACCACTCCATCTAAATATTCCTTTAGATGTTTTATATAAAAATTTCTGTTTATGTTATAATCCATTATTTCATAATTATATTTATATTTATTCTATAGAAATATATTATTTTGCACAGCACATTTTAAATATAGTAACTATATTGCTTAAATTGAATACCAATTTTATAATTTTACTATAATAAAAAACACTAAAAAATATTGTAATAAAACCTTTAGTTTACATCTAACCAGATAACATGTCGTGTTTCATGGCAACATTAAACTGGCATGTATGTTATGTGCGCTGTATGTTTAAATAGGTGCTAAACATATCGCAAACATACAGCAAACATACCGGAATGTAGCATTGATAACAGTTACTGTATCTATCGTAGAGTTAATTTATTAAAATAAACATCGTTATATAAATTCTCTCTCTCTCCTCTCTCCTCTCTCTCTCTCTCTCTCTCGTTCGCTCGTTTGTTCGTTTATTCAAAGTAAATATTATATGAAATATACTGTATTTTGTTATTTCTAATTACTTTATTGGATAACTTAAACAAAAATTTTTCAATATAAGCATCTACTGTACAATGTTATCAATGCTGGTTTTAAAAAATTAAATCTCTCGTTGGATTTTTCATTAATCAAGATTATAAATTTAAGAATTTTAATTAACCAATCAACGTATAAATGGCTTTAAATTATAATAAATATTAATTTTATTTTTAGTAAATGAATAACTGTACATTAGGTTATGTGTAATATTAAATTATATATTATTCATTAAACATTTTAGACAAATATAAAAATTATAATGTACATTGTACAGTAAGAGAACGTCACTATTATTGACACAAACATATTTCGTGATTAAATCAATCGGGGGACCAAATATATTTTTTAATAAGTGGTCAGCTTACGAGGTCTCATCACACAAAACGACCCTGATTAGATTTGGTCATTATAACTACCCTTTCGACCGCAATGACCACAAGTATAAGAGTATTGTTTGAATAACTGACAAAAGTATTTGACCAGAAGGTGCGGCCACTGGAGTGGGCAACAGTTTGGACGAAGCGTATCCGTGGGTCCGCGGACTGATGGCAACTCAGGTATCGCTCGCTCCTATGCGCTCGACACAAGCTGCGCGCCAAGGATGCTAACGTCCTTCGACTTCAATAACTAGATCAGGCCCGTCCAGAATTTTTAAAATCCTCAAAATAGTGTTTTATAATATAGGGGGTTTTCATAATTTTTGTCAGGTAGATTTTATTCAGCAACCTATAATGATATCAAAAAGTTTTTCAAACCTCAACTATGGATTTTTCTTATATGTATTCCCCAGAAGACACCACTAGATTCGAGCACCGGTAGGCCGGCACAGGTAGGTTTTCTGTACAGCAAT